GAGGAAAAAGGAGAAGTTGTTTCCAAATAAATGTCAAGTTATTAAAAAACTACTATAACAGTAAATTTGATAAAAATGTACAACAAGCTGAATCTTAGCTGTCACTCACTTCTGTCTTATTACCTATTTAAATATACAACAAAAAAAAGTGTATTAAAATTATATTATTGTACAGGTTTGTATTATTATACAGTTTCCCAGTACCTACCCACACATTAAATTACTATAAACTATCATATAATGTAGGTGATTGTCACCACTTACAAGTACCTTATGTTCAGAAATACAATGTACTTGATTTTTATTAATCCACAATTAAAAGTATTAATAATGAATGGTTAAATAATTTAACCTTTATAATTTGTATTTCTATGTTTTATAGTGAAAAATAATAAATTAGGAGAAATATTTAATCAATAAACTTAGATTATATTTATAAAGATTAAACTAAGTAAATATTATATGTCAGTTTAATGTTATACAATGAATTTAAAGATTTAAAAAAAGCATATAAAAATAATCATTACATTTGAAATAATATTAGTGGAAATCACACTACAATTCTTACCTCCACATTCAAGAATAAGAACATCAACAAATAATTTCCAACAAGATTGACCAGAAACAATGCATAATTTAGATAAATTTAAAATTGGACTATGAGCTAAATAAAGAAAGCGACTAAGTTCAGCAGCAAGCTGTTCTCCACCTCTTCCTTCAAATGCAGGAGTTGCATTAGCAGAGCTAAAACAAAGTTAATAATTAAAAAATCATTGCAATAAAATTTGATTTATTGTACATAATGTTACTTTCCAACTTACCAGTCAACAAAGTATTCTATTTTACCATCTTTTGGAGTTTCAGGTAGAGGACTATCAATTTCTACTTTCACACAAACTAAAATGTCAGAATTCGCTAAACGAAGACGTGCTGAACCATTAGCATTACTAACAATGTCCATTTCTAATTCCATAGGTCTGTAATCTTGCCGACTACGACCATCACAGCGAAAATTTTCCTATATATATATATATATATAAAAAAA